CAATGGATTTATCTGAAATTTGTTACTCGGGGGTTTTTGGGGTCACCCCAAAAACTCAATAAGTATTGATTTTTAAGCAAATTTGGTGAATTTTAAAATTTGTAGGCTATTTCGAATCCGCCATGTTGAATTATTGAAAAGTAACTTCAGATTCGTAACCGGCGACCCCAAAAACTCCCGAGTAACAAATTTCAGATAAATCCATTGAGTTTTTGAAAAAATTGTCCGCCATATTGGATCCGCCATTTTGAATTTTTGAAAACTTATACAATTCGTGTTTAGTGAACCAAAAAACATAAGTATATAGTGCAGAAATAAAAATAATTCATCAATATATTATTTTTTGCAAAATAGTATTTTTTAAATCTTTTTTTGTGGAAAATCGCCATTTTGTCGTCCACCATCTTAAATTTTGAAATTCACAACTATATAGTTTTGTAACTGGGTATTCGAGGACGCGATATTTTGGGTTCCGGAGCAATTTAACTGTCGTTTTCAATGTCAAAATATTTTTTGAAAAAAAAATTTTTTTGCAAAAAATCATGTTTTTTTGCAATAAAATTGTTATAAATATTAAGGATTTAATTATAATTAAATTTGGACTTTAGAATCGAAAAGAGCGATAAATTTTACGTTAGAAATGGGCTATCCTGAATTTTTTGAATTATTTTTTCATATAAAATAACAGCTGCTAAGTGAAGGTAAATTTTTCGTCCGCCGGTCGTTAATGGGATAATATAGTAATTAATATATACATATTAATTAATTCTTATCATTATAATTAATTATAATAGTAATGAATGTGCTAAAACGTGAGCGAAAAACCTGATAAAATTCGCTCAGAGTTTACTTGAAACAATCCGACAGTATCTTATTATTCTAGACTATTTTATTTCTATATTACACATATTGCTGGTAATGGGATAATCGGTAGGATCGCCACTTTTTCACTTTTTAATATGAAAAAGAAAATGATTTATTTTTGCGTTTCAGATAAGCTCATGAAACCTCATGAGACTCGGCACATCACTTGAATAATAAAAAAAAGAAACTATTGAATTAATTTTCAATTTAACAAGTTTATTTAATTCAATAAAGTACAAATTTTCACTCTCGTTTACACTCACACATTAATTTTAAACATTTAGTTTGCACCGAGTATGTTAAGCGTTTCGGCGCGTGCAAAAGAAACATGTAAATCAGTTTCCTTCAAAACGAAGACTGAAGGGCAAATTTATTCCTTCGTAATCGCGTGATTTTATTTTCGGCATAATTCGTCATAATTCGGGAATTAACGAGTAATTGAATTAATACAGCTATTGCTACCGCGGAACTGAGAAAAATTTAATCTTATTCATATACAAAACCGCCCGCCTTGAAATAACTATTTCAATGCGTACAGAATCATACTTTCGAAGACATTTCAGTATCACTCTCGCATACGCAAAAAATAAACAAATTGATTAATATAAGTTAGAAGGTTTCGTATGAATAAAAACGATAACATTCGGACCATTGTTGTTTTAATAAAAGTTTACTCCAACGTTTCGAAATCTAAATGATTTCCTCTTCAGGGAGTCAAATAAGAAACATATGTCAAGTCATAGAAATAATGGTCAATTGCGGTGTCAAATTAATAAAAACAAAACCACCCTAACGTTGGAGAGAAACACAGAGTTTGGAGTTCAAATCAATCAATCCATTTTTTAAAAAAATTTATAATAACATATGTTTCTTATTTGACTCCCTGAAGAGGAAATCATTTAGATTTCGAAACGTTGGAGTAAACTTTTATTAAAACAACAATGGTCCGAATGTTATCGTTTTTATTCATACGAAACCTTCTAATTAATATATTTCTCGGACGTTAAACTATTTAAAAAAGATTAATATAAGAAAAGTGATTATCGATACAATGAAAATGAGATTGTTTTAAAAATTCGTAGAACTCGAGTACATTTTTAATAAATCGGAGAAAGAGAATATTTCTCGTTTCATATCAACAATTGGTTTTTTTTATCATCAAGGTCAACAGGCAACAAAACAAGCTCTGTGATGGGTCGAACATATTCGGATTTAAATGTTTTGACTTTGACAACTCGAACGATATTATCGTTGCTTGGAAAACATTCAATAATTCTTGCAAGATTCCATATTGTCGGAGGCAATTCTGGTTTGCGCAGTAAAACCATTTGACCGACCTTGAGTTGATCATTCGAAATTCGCCACTTTGTTCTATGTTGCAATGATTGAAGGTAATCGTTTGTCCATTGTTTCCAAAAACCTTAAAACATTTGCTGCACCTGTTGCCATCGTGACAATCGATTTTCATTTAGATTTAACAAGGATTCTTGTGGTACCGCGTTAATTGGACCGCCAATGAGAAAATGGCCCGGTGTTAGAGGATCGAGATCGTCAATGCTGTCAGTGTAAGGGGCAATCGGTCTTGAGTTCAGTACTAATTCGATTTGACACAAAAGAGTTTGCAGTTCTTCATAGGTGGGAGTTTTGTCTAAGAGAATTCGCTTGAGATGTGTTTTCACGCTTTTAACTCCAGCTTCCCAGATTCCTCCAAAATGAGGAGCAGCTGGGGGTATAAAGTGCCAGGTGACACTGTCCTTGGCCAACAGGGCCTGGAAATCGGGTTCGATTAGAACTTGCAAAAATTCCTCTTTTAAGATTCGACATGCACCTTGAAAATTGGTTCCTCTATCCGAATAGAGGTGAGCTGGAATGCCACGTCTCGCGCAGAATCGTTTGTACGCTTCGATGAATGAATCAGACGAATAGTCAGAGACTAATTCCAAATGGATTGCTTTGACAGATAAGCAAATAAACAGAGCGACATAGCAAGATTGCGATTTATGACCTCGACCACTGGCCAATCTAGGATTTATTATCCACACGTTTTGTCTAAGCGTACTTAGGGTGAGTTTCATTCAGCCATGCAAACATTTACCATGAATTGATCCTATCAGAGATGTAATCAAGGGATGTTCTCTAGTCGACCACCGACACGAATCACGACTTGCTTGTCAAGAAATGGATTCAGAGAATGCAATTGATTTTTTGCCGAAACGAATTTCTCTTGATTCAAAGTTTTAATTTCTGAGGAAAACAGTTGAGCTTGCAGTAATTTGTATAAAACAATTTTTGCATTCGATAAATCCTGAGCAGTCAATTGCTTAATCGGTTCAGTTTTAGCTACAGATTGGCAATTTTTTCTTAGATCGCAGTTTTTGTTTTGTGAAGAATTCTTTTTTCGCATAGTACACCGTCCGACACGATTTTTCACACAAGAAACAATCAATAATTTTCAGATACTAGGACCAAAAAAAAGTTACCCGTGTCTGGCCGTTTTGCTAGATCAGGTCATTTTTTGCTTTTAGGGCTAAAAACAACCCTTAAATGAAAGGTGATAGGAAATCTTGTACAAATTAATAATTTTTTATGAAACTTGGTATCTAGGGGTTTTTGGGGTCGCTGAGTACGAATCTGAAGTCAGATTTTTAAAATTCAAAATGGCAGATTTAATATGGCGGTCGAAATTTATAAAAGTTCATCGAATTCACTTGAAACTTGTTACTTAAAGGTTTTTGGGGTCGCTGATAACGAATCTGATTGTAGATTTTTAAAATTCAATATGGCAGACTCAATATGACGGTTGAAATTTATAAATGTTATAAGTTTTTTATAAAACTTCGTATCTTTGGGTTTTTGGGGTCGCTGAGTACGAATCTGATTGTAGATTTTTAAAATTCAATATCGCAGACTCAATATGACGGTTGAAATTTATAAAAATTGTTAATTTTTTATAAAACTTGGTGTCTATGTGCTTTCGGCGTCTCTTAGTACGAAAATGATGTCAGATAAGAATAATAAAAACGCCAAATCTAATAAAGGTGATGATCACAAATCTGAAAAATAATTTGGAAAATTTAAATGTTCGATCAATTTTTTGTTAAAATTTGCAAGCCAACATTTAAAAATTTTTATTTTATGTGATTTTTAATAAATTAAGTTTCTATTAGAATTAATAAATTCAAAAGGTTATAATCAAAATTTATTATACAAATATAATGCAATAAAATAAAATTAATAGAACTATTTCATAACAACTCTTGTATTACGTTTGTGTAAATTTTAGACGCTTATTTTTACGATTTAAAGATTCGACCACAATATTGGATTCGCCATTTTGAATTTTGAAAACCCGACATCAAATTTGTAATCAGCAACCCCAAAAACCTTCAAGTAACAAGTATCAAGTGAATTCGACGAACTTTTATAAATTTCAAACGCCATATTGAATCTGCCATTTTGAATTTTAAAAATCTGACTTCAGATTCGTACTCAGGGACCCCAAAAACCCCTAGATACCAAGTTTTACAAAAAATAATTAATATTTCTAAATTTCAACCGTCATATTGAGTCTGCCATATTGAATTTTCAAAATCTGTCATCATATTGACTATCAGCGACCCCAAAAACCTTCAAGTAACAAGTTTCAAGTGAATTCGATGAACTTTTATAAATTTCGACTGCCATATTGAATCCGTCATTTTGAATTTTGAAAATCTGACATCATATTCGTAATCAGCGACCCCAAAAACCCCTAAATAACAACTTTCAAATGAATTGGTGAATTTTTATAAATTTCGACCGCCATATTGGATCTGCCATTTTGAATTTTGAAAATCTGACATCAGATTCGTAATCAGCGACCCGGAAAACCCCGAGATACCAGGTTTCATAAAAAATTATTAATTTGTATAAGATTTTCTATCACCTTTCATTTAAGGGTTGTTTTTACCCCTAAAAGCAAAAAATTACCTGATCTAGCAAAACGGCCAGACACGGGTATCTTTTTTTTGGTCCTAGTTTCTGAAAATCATTGATTTTTTCGTGTGTGAAAAAAAAGTTGAATTTTGTCGGACGGTGGTATTGATAAAGAGACTGACAAATTTTATGACGTATGAAATGACTCGAACCGTTTTTTCCTATGATGAAAACTTTATCCTCAGATTGTAAAGAGGGTGATTTGTTGGATCATTAACGAGATGAGAGACTGGTTTAAGTTCGACTGACGATTCCTCGTCAGATGGGGAGATTTGACTCGGCCATTGATCGGGCTGATTCATTAACCATTTGGGTCCGTTCCACCATAAAGTAGATTCGTGCAATTTTAAGGGGAGCAGGCCGCGAGAAGCGAGATCGGCAGGATTGCTTTCAGTCGGAACATGTTTCCATTTTAGTGATGGGAAAAGTGACTGTACTTCTGCAACTCTGTTCGCGACAAAAAGCTTCCACGCAGATGCATGCTTGCTCAGCCAGGCCAATACGACCTTGGAATCTGTCCAACACTGTATTGGAATTTCTGTAAAAGCTCTGGCACTTTTTAGTGAAGTGATAAGTCGAGTGAGGAGAACCGCTGCTTGCAGTTTTAGCGTGGGGTTGTAAGTTTTTTAATTAGACATACCTTTGTTTTGCTTGTAATCAACGAAACGAATGTTTCGCCAGATTTTGTGACAGTTCGTAGGTAAATGACTGCACCGTATGCAAGGTCAGATGCGTCCGCAAATCCATGTAGTTCGGAACTTGAACTATTAGGATCATGATTATTCCATCGAGAAATTGAGATTTTTGAAAGATCGTTCAATGATAAAAAATAAGTTAACCATTGGTTTTGAAGTGGAGTGGGCAGTGGTTCATCCCAAGTTGCTTTGCTTAGCCAAGTTTTTTGCATAAGAATTTTACCAACGACTATTACTGGAGAAATCCACCCGACGGGATCAAATAATTGAGCCCAGAGAGATAACGCTTGTCGATGAGTCAAGGTTTTTGGAAGTTCCAGGTTCACGTTAAAATGAAAGGTATCGGTATCAAATTTCCATGAAATTCCAAGAACTTTAATTGCCTGTTTTTGTGAGTCTGAAGAGCCCCATGCAAGACCATGATTTGATGGATCAACATCTGCAATCAGGGATGGTTCATTGCTTGCCCATTTTCGCGCCTCTAATTTAGCCTTTTTTAAAAGTGATACAACTTCCTCTCGCTTTAACCTTGCAGTTTTTTTATCGTAAGCTCCGAATAAAAAATCATTAATGAACGTGTCGAACAAGAGAACGAGAGATGCGAGTGGGAAATCTGATCCTTCATCAGCTACGAGTTGTCTCATGACTCTTAATGCGAGGTATGGAGCGGAGCGTGTACCATATGTTACGGTTGCTAATTGATATTCGGAAATCGGAACATCGAGAGAAGGTCTCCATAGAACGCGTTGATAATTTCTTTGAATAGGATCGATGAGAATCTGCCGATACATTTTTGTGATATCAGCTGAAAAACGAAGGGATATGTTCGCCATTGAGAAAGAATAATGGAAAGATCAGGTTGGAGCTTGGGACCAATCAACATGTGATCATTGAGAGAGGTACTATTTGCTGTTTTACTTGAAGCGTGAAAACCGACTCTTAATTTTGTGGTTTGACTGTGCTCGCGAATAATAGGATGATGAGGAAGATAGACGCAAAGATGTGGAGGTAGATGTGGATTTGGAGAGGGAATCATGTGTTCTAGACATTCGTAGTCTGACATAAATGAATTGTATTCCCTTTTATGCTCTGGATAATTTTCAAGTCGAGTTTCAATGCGTTTAAGAGATCGTTCCGCAATATAACGAGATTCACCAATGTCGAGAGTTTCAGAATCAAACGGGGATTGAACAATGTATTGACCTTCACTTGTTCGTTTATGTGTTGACATAAAATGTGATTCACAAAATTCATCTTGTGTACAGACCGGTGTTTCTGTCTTGACATTTTCGACTTCCCAAAATTTTGTCAATGCGGAATTTAATTGATCGAATGAAGCACAATGGAGATCAGAGACAGTATTTAAATTCGAAGGAACACTGCTTGCAATCGGACCAGACAAAACCCAGCCAAAGACAGTGTTTTGTGCCACTGGCTCATTAATCCCCCCTTTTCGAATTTCATTTGAAATTAACGCGCCGTATAAATCTGCTCCAATGAGCAAGTTTATTTCCTCATTACATGTAATGTCGTCGGAAAATTCAAGATTGTTTAAATGAGGCCACTTCTCAAGCGAAATGTTCCTATCAGGGGTGTATGTTGTGATTTGAGGAGTGACTAATGCTTGGGTTGTAAACATGGGATTCTGGGCTTGAATAGGACAAAGATTAAGTTCAACTACAGACGTAGCTGTACCGGCCGAGGTGCCATCCAGCCCCGACAGCGATGCAGATACTCGAGTTTTTCTGATACCTAATAAATTCGCTGCTTTGTTTGGAATAAATGTCCAAGTCGACCCTGGGTCAAGCAAAGCTCTAATTGGAATTTTTTGATGAGAATATGATAACCCTGTGGGCAAAAAACCATGTTCGTTCTAAAAACGTTTTAAGAACGTTTCATGTCTACCAAATAATGTTCTGGAACATTATTTGAACATCCATGTTCTTAAAATGTTCCAGAACATTATTTGGCGGACATGAAACGTTCTAAGAACGTCCTTAAAATGTTTTAAGAACAAACATGGTTTTTTGCCCACAGGGAAGACACACAATTTAATTGTAGCAAGCATAACTCGTTTTTCTTTCAAAGTCCCGGTTGATAAAAAATGAGACTGAATATTTTTTGTCTCGGCTTGACTCGAGGTTAACGATAGACATTTATCTTGAGCTTGATCTGATTCGTTTTTTGTTTGTTTTGAATTACCGCGATGAAGCAAAGTGTGATGTTTCATTTTACATTCTTGACACGTGTGTTTACTAGCACATTCTTGAGTTTTATGACCTGCAGCCAAACAATTGACACATAAATGAATAGATTTAATTTTATTGAATCGATCCAAACTTGACATATTTTGAAATTTAGAGCATTTATAGATTTTGTGGTTTTCGTTACAAATTGAACACTGTACATTATTATCGGAAACAACATATGAATATGCTACAATTGGTTTACTATTTCGCGAAGAATTTCCTTTCGGTTGATTACTCGTTTGTTTACATTGATTTTACTTAACTGAAATTTCAATGGGGTTAAGTGCTTCTAACGCGCGTATTCTTGTTAAAAGAAAATTATCAAAATCATTATAAGTAGGACAATCTGTTGTTGCCGCCAATTGCAGTTCCCAATCGCGCTGGGTACTGGTATCAAGTCGTGCAACTAATCTATTTATCAAAATGTCGGAATAATTATCAACTGGACGATTTAAATTTGTGAGTGCAGCTAGATTTTGTTTCAAAACATTACGCATATTTAACAAGGCTGACGCGGATTCTTTTTCAATTTGCTCAATTGAAAAGATATCGTTTAAATGCGCGTTTACAGAGGCTCGAGTATTCGAATATCGAGTTCTTAAAAGATCCCATGCTATTTGAAAGTTAGTTTCGAGAATATTGCATATCAATTCATGGGCTTCGCCTTCCATCAGACCTTTCAAATAATGCAATTTTTCAAGATCACTTAAAGTTCGTTTTTTTATGATAAGGGAATCAAAACTATCCTGAAAGGATGCGTAATCAGTGAGCTTACTGGAGAATTTAGGTATACTTATCGGCTGTAGTTTGACGTTGGAATGCTCTGTTAATACTCCTGCGTTAACTGGCAGCGTTTCTGGCCTGATTGGGTTGGCAGCTGTCATACACAGAGAAAGAAGATCACTGATGGTGAGATATTTGGCTTCCGTAGTTTCGAAAATCTGGCCGGTAAAATACGTACGAACTCTGATTTCCTCACTGGTTGCCATTTGATGGATTTGGAAGTGCCTTGTGCCGAAGTTTGACCAGAACATAAATAAATGTTTGGCCCGGTTTTCCAAAACAGGTGGGTAAGTCCACGTCAGAAATATCAGAATCTGCAAGTGATTCTTCGATTTTAATGATACTTCGTAAAATTATAGCTTTATATAAGAGCAATGTGTAAGTAAAAGGAATTTTGAAAATATCTAAAATTGTAGGAATTATATCACTTTTAATTTTGATACTGCATGTTTTTCTTTCCTTTATATCTCGGTCAATTTTCAACCGATTTTGATGAATCAAAAACGATTTTTTTTAGAAAATTACGTATTTTCAGAAAATTTTAAAATAAAAATAAAATTTTGTTATTTAAATAGAAAAAAGTAAAAAACAAAATTTCTTTTATATTTTTTTTCAATTTCGACCTCCTTTTTTTAATTTTTTAATAATATTCCTTTTTATTTTATCTTTAATTTAAAAAAAAATTCATCCTGGAGACTTTTTTAGATCTCGTGATATCGTTCTTTAAATATCCACATCTCAAGAAAACTAATATCCAGATTTGTGTTTCTACTTTCATTTGTTTTATAATATTATTGTTACAAACTAGAAACTTTCGCGTAATAATGTTTTTATTTTTAAATTACTTGACTAAAACAAGTGAAAATTCAAGGAAATCAATATTTTATTAATAGATTTGAAGCAAAGTTTTTATTTTTTGTAATATTTATAATTTAAAATAAATTGTAATGAAACCTTAACAATGCAACCTGAAATTGTAGCTGAAGTTTTTAGCGCTTTCTTTTAGAGGATTCTAAAACAAATAGTTATTCATAACCATAAAAAATTTCAACAAACAAATGAAAGTAATGATAGAAGCAAGTCCTGCGGTTTTCAAATTGATGAAGACTTATAATACTTAAAGGACGATATCACGAGATCTAAAAAAGTCTCCAGGGTGATTTTTTTTAAATTAAAGATAAAATAAAAAGGAATATTATTAAAAAATTAAAAATAAAAAAAGAGGTCGAAATTGAAAAAAAATCTAAAAGAAATTTTGTTTTTTACTTTTTTCTATTTAAATAACAAAATTTTATTTTTATTTTAAAATTTTCTGAAAATACGTAATTTTCTGAAAAAAATCGTTTTTGATTCATCAAAAACGGTTGAAAATTGTCTGAGATATAAAGGAAAGAAAAAAGTGCAGTATCAAAATTAAAAGTGATATAACTCCTACAATTTTAGATATTTTAAAAATTCCTTTTACTTACACATTGCTCTTATATAAAGCTATAATTTTACCAAGTATCATTAAAATCGAAGAACCACTTGCAGATTCTGATATTTCTGACGTGGACTTACCCAGGTCCCACACGAGATTCTGGAGCGAGATTTTCGATCTAACCCATGCTTCTGTTGAGCGCGTCCAATTCAACGCTTTGATCCTTAAGAAGAGTATCCAATTTGATTGGAGGTTTGGTGGTTGGAGGTTTGGCTTCGTCTGTAGACATGGTAATTGTGTGGTTTATCAACTTGAACAGTTAATGTGCGAAAACGTATGAACGACGTTTTCAGAGAGTCAACTTAGAACTTGTTGACATGAGGATATAATTTGTCTTCTTTTGATGGTGAGTAATCGAGATGACGTCACGAAAAGAACTATTTGACTTTCTTGAATTTCAAAATGGTGGAGATTTTGACTTTCCAGAGTCAAAATGACGAACGGCGCTATGATTCACTTGGGATGATGAATCCTTGATGAGCACGAGTGATCCTGGCAGGATCACCAATTTGTTTGGTAAAAAAAAATGTTTTTTGATCAATATAACAATATACCTATTATAACTTTACTTGTTAATTTTTAAAAATTATAATATTTTTTAAAATAATCATAATAATCATCAACAAAATATGTTGATAAAATTGAAAAAAAGTAATAAGATCTTTTATTTTCATAAAACCGAATTCTCCTTTTACGATCTCAGTTAGGTTAGTTAGCTCACGGGTTAGGTATTCGGTTTGCATTCGTTAGGTTGTGAGTTCGATTCCCTGCGTTTGAGAGATTTTCTTCGATAGGGGTAAATAAATATAATAAATTGTAAAAATAATAATTGAGTATGTGTAACGTAAAGATAAAAAAATGTTGTACGATAAATGATTTTTATTTATTTTTTTAATTAAAAAATATTGTTTTTTGTTAATTTTTAAATATTTGTAGTCAGAATTCATGAGAAGTTAGTCAGGAATCTTTAAAACTATTTTTCATAACTTAGTCATAAAAAGTGGCGTGATTCGTGTATCTGTAGGTAACCATAAAGCTACAGTTTTTTGAACACATACCTGACCTTGACTTTTTAGCACTGGATGACGTCAAAAGGTGCAAACAAGTATACTTTTTAGTGCATGTCACGTTGTCTCCCCAATTTCTCATTATTTTTAACACTCTCTATTTTACCATCATAACAGAGTCTATGTTTTTAATCTGTCCAGTAGTGTATCTAAACCTAACCTATGTGACAAATACAAATGGCGACACTGAGTAAATGAAAACGTGACGACACAAATAAACACAAAACGTATATAAAATCGATTTCTTTCTCGGTTTATTTTGTGCTCAAGAAGTTTTCTCGGTTTGTTTTCGACTCACGAAGGTCTTATCATCGAATTATCTTCCAAAGTAAGTACATTTCAACACAATCATCATCGCATTTCTCATGGATTGTCAGTTTTGGTCCTACCGTCCCCTTTTTTAAATTTTCATATCTATTTTGCTTTATTCGTTAAATTATCCACTATTTTATCTACTTTATCAATTTTATATTTTTTTGATATTTTTCACGTCTAATCAACTATAAATTCAACTATTTCTCATTTAAATCCATTAAAAATTCAATTATTCCAAATTCCAAGCAATGTAAAATTCAATTATTCTAAATTCTAATCAATTGTAAATTCAATTATTACAAATTCCAGTTAATTTGAAATTAAATTATTCTAAATTTTAAACAAATACAAATTAAATTCTTCTACATTCCAATCTATTAAAAATTCAATTATTACAATTTTTTTTAAATTAAAAATCAAATTACTCAAAATTTCAATTAAATAAAAATTCAATAAATTAAAATTTTACTTTATTATTTAGAAAATGGAAAGTAGCGAGGAAGAAGGATGCACCCCACCAGAAATTCGCGAACAAGCTCAGGAAATGGACCTCGATTTATTACCCGCACAATCTAGAAAGCTGTACGAGGATGAATATAAAAAATTCGTTGATTGGAAAAAAGCAAATAAGGCTATCACGTCAGAGAACTGTCTTAATGTGTATTTCAAGGAGCTCATGAAGAAATACAAAGGCACTACTTTGTGGTCTACATATTCGAAACTCAAGAGCACAATTCAGGTTCACGAGAAAATATCAATTGGAAATTATAAAGAACTGTCTGCAATCCTAAGTAACTTTTCAAAGGGACAGGAAAAGAAAAAAGCGAAAATTTTCACCACCGCTGAACTGAATTCCTTTCTCGAAAAAGCCCCAGATGACACTTATCTTGCAGCTAAAGTAAGTAACGAAACCATACATTAATAAATAAAATAAATAAAATAAATAAAATAAATAAAATAAATAAAATAAATAAAATAAATAAAATAAATAAAATAAATAAAATAAATAAAATAAATAAAATAAATAAAATAAATAAAATAAATAAAATAAATAAAATAAATAAAATAAATAAAATAAATAAAATAAATAAAATAAATAAAATAAATAAAATAAATAAAATAAATAAAATAAATAAATAAAATAAATAAATAAAATAAAATAAATAAAATAAATAAAATAAATAAAATAAATAAAATAAATAAAATAAATAAAATAAATAAAATAAATAAAATAAATAAAATAAATAAAATAAATAAAATAAATAAAATAAATAAAATAAATAAATAATAATGTAAATAGTATAAATATTTAATTATTTACAGGTGGTTCTCATTCTTGGTCTTAGCGGTTGTTGTCGCAAAAAGGAGATTTATTCGATTAAAGTCCATCACGTCACCAGGCAAGGTAATCTCTTGGAAGTTATTATTCCTGATACGAAAAATAAAGTTCCCA